GATGAACAATAAAGACAATAGAGTGTTTATGTCTCGGAACTATCGGTCCGATAGTTGCCCCTTGGAAATTTTATGTTCGTAACACTAGCATATTTACCCTCGTAGCTTTGCTTCTCGGGCAAATATTTGTTTTAAGAACATCAAATTTGCGCAGGGCAACTATCAGCCGAAAGTTCCTCGACAGAAACTCTCTATTGTTTAATTATAGTTCACCGCTAAATTTTCTCCGATTCTTATTGGTTTAAATTGATCACGTGACGCGATAGTATTCATCCGTTGAGAGACACTACCAGCCCATAGTGCCCGTCTGCGGAAAATACCCGGATGGATAGTACTCACCCGTGAAAAATTTTGAATGGTCGCGAAGTTAGAAAAATTTTGAATGGCCGCGAAGTTAGGCAGATCGGAGAAACAGTGACTTTTCAATTCTGACTGGTATAACGTATTATTTAGCCGATGTACGGTTGCGAACTGTTGACATTTGTGACGGGTTGTACGTATGAATACATATTTGATTGATCTGCATTTAGTGGCTTTTGACTGTTTTTGAACTGGCGCGCGGAAGAAAATTTAGTGGTGAACAATAAAGACAATAGAGTGTTCATGTCTCGGAACTATCGGTCTGATAGTTACCCCGTGGAAATTTGATTTTCTTAAAACTAGCATATTTGCCCTCGAAGCTTCGTTTCTCAAGCAAATATTTGTTTTATATATTGCTTAAATAGGGCAAGCTCTTTCAACCAATGACAGCGCGCTTTCTATTCGAACTTTATTGTAATTTTACATTTCTCCTTTTCCCACCTTAACATTTCCGGAACTAACCCATTTCAACCACCTTACACCGAAGGCTCATTATCTTCAGGGGAACAGACGCAGTTATCCCAGCTACTTTGATTAAGCTTTATAGATGAATTATAAGGAAGCCCCCTTAGAAAATCGCTTGATTCGTGGCTATGTGCAAACCTGATAAACAGATTATTTCACCTAATCGCAATGCCACTCCACAAATTTCTAGCTAGTGACGGTGTCAGTTGTCGATCATGTTCCTTTAACAGACAATTGTCAAGGAGACTGTTTCTTTCATGCTGTTTCGACAAGCACGAGTCCGCCTGTAACAAAAGCTATTTCTACACGAGGGAAGACGTTCACTGAACTAGATATCACCAGTCCGCCTGGAACAAGAGCTGTTAATTCAGGCGGGAAGACGTCAACTAAACAGTATATCACTGATTTATCAGGTAAATCTAAGGATATGTAAACGAGCAATTTTCATGAAGCAGTAAAAGTTGATTTGTTTCTACTTGTTTTTGTTCGTTTATCATTTTATTACAGCAAAATAAATTTTTTCCGTTTATAGTGGTTTTCCCTAGGCATGTTTTATATTTAATGTACGTCTTTAAGTTTGAAGGCTGGACAGGTGGTAAAGAATTCAGTGTTAACTGCTAGGAGCACTATTAAGATCTGAGTGTATCACCATTTAATGTCAACAAAAATTTTAAAATGTTGATGTATTAAATTCAGGGTCTTCGACAAATTTCTTCACCCCTACCTCGGAAAAATTAACAGACGAAGTCCTCCTAGATGACAACAGCAGTTCTTCTCTTACTGTAATGATAGCAGCCGCCTCTTTAGGCGAAGTGTTCTTCGTAGCATTGATCATTCTTATTGTAGTCATGTTGCTGAGGCGAAAGAAACGTCAGGGAGAAGGTAAAGAGTCTCTAAGCGTCGTAAGGATTACGTTATTATTATGATGATGATTATTATCATTATCATTGTTATCAATATTATTGATATTATTATTTCGCACAGAAAAAAATGTAATGATATCGTGATTTAGAAGCTCTTTCTTCGAGGAGAAAAGTACTGCGCTTTTTCTCTCAGAGAATCTAGCCGGCCAACGAAAATTATCAGAAGACTATTAACCACTCTATAAACGGAAAAATCAGACCAATCTTTTTTCAAGAATTTTTTTCCTTCTTTGATTTTCAAATAAATTTAATTTTGACTGAACCCCTGGCTTGTATATACAATGCAATCTTGTTCCCATAAAAGTTCGAAAATCTTTACATTTCCAATGTGACGCAAATGTACTTCTGCAATGTAATTTGGTAACATCAACTAAGTTGAAACTGTAAATTGGCCACCGTAAAGATTTAAAGCTGATGTTTCGAGCGTTAGCCCTTCGTTTTTCGTTCTGACGAAGGGTTAACGCTCGAAACGTCAGCTTTTTAACTCTTTACGGTGGCCAATTTACAGTTTCAGCTTAGTTGATATTACCAAATTATCTTGTTACCCCCACCGACGCAGCCCCACAGATTCTTTAGAAACTTACCCCCTTACTTCTGGAATGGTTTCATTATCCTCAGGTTCATATCAAAAGTAGCTAAATATGGTTACCGGTAATTGCCTTTTTCTTTCCAACTGTTCTTTGCTTTATCGTGTTTAAAAGCGATTTCGAATTGAAAATCGGCCTTGAATACATAATATGTAGTGTAGCAAATGCTGAAACGTGAAAGAGAAAAAGGTGATGGGGTACAGTAATGTTCACGATATCAGAAACATTTCTCTTTTGTTATTGTAGCTAAGAAAGGAAGACGTCTGTCTTTTAATTTATGCAGTTAAATATGCTTTTTTTTCGGCAGATGCAGAGAATGCAAAACCTTGGAAGTCAGGGCCGTACAAGTCAGTATTTATTGTTTGTTTTTTTGTCTGTCTGCTTGTTTGTCTTTTTGTTTGTTTGTACGTTTGTTTGTTTTTTTTTCTGGAATACTTTGAGTTTCTTATCATTATTACCCAGCACATCATTACCAAATGATAAAGCTAACTAGAGCTTATTGAATTTATATAGGGTATGGTAAGTTCATCATACGACCTATTACTAGAAGTCCTATTTTTTTTCATGGGGTAATCACGGGTATTGCTACTTCTCTTTTCCCCTAAATAGAACCCAGTCCATAGATGGACTACCCCTCCAGAGCGCTCTAAATTGACCCCAACAACAATAGAAAGCACACTATGATCGGCTGTATCTACAAACACCCGACAGCAAATGTGCAAGTATTTACGCTTAAATTTGACGAATTTTTAAACAAACTTGACCCAAACAAATATGATATGTATATAATGGGTGATATACACATTGACCTTCTAAGTATCAGATTCATCAGCAAACAGAGAGCTACCTTGAAATGATCTTTTACCAGTAATAACTAAACCTACTAGAATCACTAGCCATACAGCAACATTGATAGATCACATTTATACCAACACTATTAATAGATTGACCTCTTGGGCTGTCACAGTTGACATCTCAGACCATTTACCAGTCTTTTGTTTGGTTGACACATTTCTCAAAATGTATAATAGACAAAATATGTATTTTAGAGATTACACTAAATTTAACACAGAGTCATATCTCCATGACATTCATACAACTGACTGGAATGTGATTTCTGAACAATGCAATGATTTACATGAAGATAATAATTATAATTTATTGGATATTCTAACAATTGATAATATTTTCAAACTAAAAGTAGCACTCTTTGCACATAAAATTATTAACAATCCAACAGGCATCCCAGGAATTTTTTCTGGAACACTACCTCTGGCTTCTCACTTCCATAGCCATTACACTACATTTGTTTCTAACTTTAACTTCCGTAGGCCTCTAATACATAATAATTATGGAGCTTCTACTTTTACTTTCATTGCATCGAAAATATGGGAGACTATTCCACTGCATCTAAAAAAAATTATGTTATTATCGCTTCTCCAAACAAGTCAAGCTATATCTGCTAACTACGCAATCTGCTTCTTAGAATGCATTGATATAGTTTACTTTAGTTTCTTTGTTCTTAGTCTTTGTTCTTTTGATTCATTGTAAAAAAAAAAAATAACTCTCCTTCTTTTAACTTCATTAAATTTTTATTTATTTATTTACTTATTTACTCACTTCTCTATTCTCTTTGTTTATCATATAAATTGTGTATATTTACCTTGGTTAGTGTAAATATAGAATTAAAGTAAAGTAAGTCTAGTGTAAATGTTAATTATAAGATATACCAGTCAATTATACGTGACAGAGGCCAACTCGAAAGCTATGCTACTTTGGTCACTGTGCACATTTTACTTTTGATTATTGATGTAATTTACTGTTTCTTATATATTCTGACTTTATAATCTGCAGTAACCTCTTGAAATAGTGCGAATAAAATAGTTTCAGTTTTTAAAATTTCATCAGATATGCCTGTTAAACATGACTTTTCGGCACCAATTAATACTTCTGGATGGAGAGGTCTACTGTGAAAACTGAATCTCAAACCCCTGTTAACGACTCAAATGTTGAAATTGTTTGAGAATGAAATAAGCGATCGTCCCGTGCACGAACATGATTCCTTGTTGGTTGCTTTAAGTGCCCCTTAGACGGGATATCACCATTCTATTTCGGGTTTTATTTGTTTGCAAATGCAGCAATAGGTTTAGTACGGACACAGTTTTCCGATGAAAGCTTAGAACAAACCTTTGGTCCCTACAGCTGTACTTCATACCGCTCCAATGTCGCCTGAAATTCGTCCGCCATTCATGAAATATGTTCCAGCTGAGCCGGCAGTCGTATAGCAGAGAACTTCATCATGACGTCAGACTCTTCGATTTCAAGTCTGCTCTACTAAAACCGTCACTGTTCGCTGCATTAACTGTCCAAATTGCCTCTTAGAGCTTTATCTCGTCATCTTTTACAAAATTTTTAGCATATTTAAGGAAGAACTACCCGAAGTATCGTCTAGCGAGTCTGAGATTAGTTTTGTTTCATCAAACAAAGACCTTTCTCTGCTCGACACCGCGCAAGCAGTAACCGATTAAGATGAGCAGTTCAGAGCTCGGAATGCAGAGGAGGAGGAAAATATGTAGAGCATGTTTTCTGGATTTGATATACCTTTTGCGCAACTCTTTTCATAACAAACCTAAAACTAGTCCCTTAGATTTGACAAAATAAATCAGAAAAAGAGTCGAAAATCACAAAATGTCTTTCGGGTTAAAATTTACGCACAAATTGGATCTATTTCACAAGCTCCCATGCACTTCTTCGCTTCTTTTTAAAATGAAATGCAAGAAAAATTGATCTCAGCTCAGGGGCACTTGAAACATCATTTAACATGACCTGCCATAAGAGAGAATTTTTGGTATGATAGTAAAACAGCATCCATCACCATTGTTGATAAGCAAGACTACTCCAGTCCCCTTCCACCCTTTCCTACCCCTTTTTCTTACCCCCGGGCAAAACATAAAATGAAGTAAATATTAGCTTTAACCTAGTTATTTTTTTTCCTTTTAACACAGTAGCGATGAAGACCAATTTGGAGAAAGCCAATATGAAACTGCAAATCCAGTCGAAGCCGCAAAGCTTCTTGTATCACCAAACAGCACCTCTGATGAGAGTAATACAAAGCTCGATCCACCGCCAGAAAAATGTGAATATGCCGTCGTCAACAAGGCAAACAAGAAGGTAACATATCAGCTTTAGACATTGAGACGTATTTGAGATCATTCAGTGTAGTTCTAGGTCAGTTTTCACCACGAACGATGGTCAAGATATTTACAGCAGATGAATGGATAGATTAGTTTATGTCTAGAAATAGATTAAATAAAATTGTGGAGATGACTAGACCTAAGGAGAGGGAGAGTATGGGATAAACATTATCATCTACGTAGGGCATAAAGAATAGAAACATCTTCGCAGTGAAAATCAATTTGCATTTGGCGTCCGACCGAAAAAAAAAGGGAAATTTCATATCATAGACTTGCGATCGACGATTCAAAATATAAGCATTCATGTTGCTAGCTTAACCGTCTGAGTGCCCATATTAATTGATTATTATTCTTATTTTAATTCAAGCGAAAGGAGGGAGACCTTGTGTACGCTCAACTCGCCGATTTTGACAATAAGGCTGACGCCGCCAAACCCCCAAAACCACCCAGCTATGAGCCCACGATATATGCTGATGTTGAAGAACTGCCTCCGGAGTTGCCTGGAAGAGAGGATCCAGGCTACTCACAGCCAACGTATGCGAATTTGGAAACAACTGGTGTTTGAAATAAAAAAGAAAAACTTCTAAGAAATGTATCTTAATTCAACGGTGCCGGTTTTGACACTCGCATTTGAATTTTACTTTCAAGCGAATTAAACGAAGAAAATTAGAAATATGATGTTCTAACTAAAGATATAAGATATTGGGGGTTGAGAGATCTTTCATAAGCATTTTACAGCATAAATGCTGAGGGTTTATGACGTTGTACGGGACAACTTTCTGTCGTTTACTTAACTTACAGGAGTAAGGACAACTTGTAGTCTGAAAGTTGCAACTTATACGGAATCATATATTGGGTTTGGATTAAACAATTAGCAGTATTCTAAAGACGCGTCGGACACAAGTTAGAGAAGATATATCCTTCTTGGAATGACTGGAATGCAATTTCGCTAAAAGAAACTTTCAGATACAATGAATATATGAAGTTCATATATTTTGAACTGCGGTATTAAATACATATGATGCACGATCCTTCGCAGTAGATATAAAGAGACTTTATAGGCTCATTCAAAATCGCGATATCTTTTTTATCTTTTCCAATTAATTCATCCGTTTTTATGTCTAAATTCCATGAACAGCTGCTTCATCCGTTTTCTTTAGCTTTTCCATCCAGTCGGATGTATTGATATCCTTAAAACTAGATTGGCTTCCAAATCTTCTTTTTCTCTTCCAAAGTCTCGCGCTAAATTTGGTATGTTTAGTATACAATTCCAAGGTCCTTAAACATGGGATACTATTTATGAATATCTTAAGTCAAGTAGCCTTTATCTATTCATAAAAGAAATGAAGAATCTCCATATTGGCATGGATCAATCAGTTTTTATCGCCACCAAGTCTCGTCCAATAGTCATTAAAGTGCATATGACACGAATTTTTTTTCTTTTGTTTCTTGTAGTTGGATATCTATATAAAACGTTTCGAAGCTTTAAAAGAGCTGGAAAATGTAAAAAGCATTTTTTTTCTTTCAAAATACGTGCAATTTGCCTTCAAATTTGTCCCGGAGACTGGGACCTAGTTTATCACCGTAGAAGTTATTGCTGACGTCACATTGTGTACCTTTGCCGCGAAGGTCTGTTTTCGCTAAGAGGATTCTGCAGCACTACGTAGTAGATAGATAGTACATTGAAAGGCAAAGATATCCAGTGATTCTAATGATTCCTTTGAGTCCGACTCTTCTGAAAGTTCCATTGACTTCGAAGAATCTAGGTACACAATGTGACGTCACATGCGATTTCGGCCGCGCGATGACCGGGACAAATTTGAAGCCAAATTGCGCGTATTTTTGAAATTGCTTCTTAAACTTTTCCAACACTTTTAAGGCTTCGAAACGTTTTCTATAGATATCCAACTACAAGAAACAAGAGAAAAAAATTTCGAGTTATATGCACTCTAAACAGTATTGTTTGTGTGAGTATATGTATGTGTGCGCGTAAGCGCGTGTATGCGCGTGTGCGTGTGTATCTGAGTGTAAGAGTAAGCGCACAAGTACATGTGTGTCCTACCGACTTAGCGACTTCGTTGTATTAATAATATTTAAGAACATTTGATATCCTAATCTGTTTTGGCAATGTTTGTGAATAGAGGGTCGAAAAAAAGTAGAGATTGTTACGTTCGAGTTGATACCGTCTTTTGTGGATCTGCAAATTCTCTAATTCTGTATCAATGGCAAACTTGGTCTTGCTTACGGTTCATATTTTCTGTTTGCAGAATTTTCGATTTGATTCATTGTCTGGCTTAGGACTATGGAATGAACACTACTTCGATTCTCTTTTGTAACGTAATACAACATAACTTAGACAAAACTGCTTGCCACTGACTTTCGTGTTTCCAAATATTTCACGTGGTATATTACACTGGTTCCATTTCCGTCTAAAGTACATTTACGTATATGGAAGTGATATGAAAAATATCATTTTAGATAAACAGGCTTACATTACACTGAGAACTATGCGCGCGCGAGTGCTCGTTCTAATATTCCCTAAAGATGCAACACAACGTATATAGATACACAAGACACACTAAATTTAACAGATTTCCTTCAGAAGTTGAAATTCATCCAACTTAGTTTCAAAGGAAACAAGGTTGCGGGATTACGATAAAACAGAACTGGAAAAAGTTGCCCTACTTTGAATACTTCAATCTTCAGATCCGTTCACATTTTTGTATACGTTTAGCAGTTTATCATAGGACCTTTTGATACAACCTGGATGGAACTTTTTCATTGATAAAATTACATGAGTTATCACATTACTAGGCATAAGTGTCCCTGTCTGAGAAATTGTTCCAGGGGCCAGAACTGGTGGGAACCGATTCGGCTGAAACTTGGCTAAAAAGTGGAGTATGATAAGACATTTCAAAAGCTACTTTGGCTCACTTCTCTGACTGTTTGTTCTGGATTTTCAGGGGAGGGGGGGGGGTCCCATATGTGGCCTGTGGAGCACCCAAAATTCATCCTTCTAGTTGGCATTTTGAAAGCGCTATAAAACTCTTCTGGTAAATTGTGCTGACAAACGAATTTGACCATGAACTCTACTATAATGAACCTTTTACTTTATAACTATAAATTTGTTCTCAAGTTGTTAGACAGAGAGGCGCCTGGGGCTAAAGTTAGGTCAAATTTGAGGTCAAAATCATTACCCAAAATTGCCATTTTTTCATAAAAACCATTACACTAACCTACCTCCTTGCATAACTTTCATAATAAATCCAGTATGTACTTTAGTGACCCAAAAATCAAAATCAGTTGAGAAAAATTTGGCTTATAAAGATTTGTTAGGTTTTTGGCACAAACTCTCCATGCCCCTCCAAGGCCAGGAAAAATGGAGTTTTGAGCATAATTCATGCTATTGACAGACCAAATCTTGACATAAAGCCTTTATTTTGTGTTAAGTGAGTGAAAATGAAACATCAAAGCCAAATCAGTGTCATTATCTAGAAATACTTCGACTCATAGCTTACAAATGCACTAAGGCCTCTGATTCGCACTACAAACACCTAGCGGTTAACAAAATAAAGTAGAGTAATAACTGAAAACCTTGTACCCATCATAGAGCACAAATGATGATGTTCTGACCTAGATATGACAGTATTTTTTAAAGATGCTTGAATTTTCTCTGATCTATGTTTGCTAGGCCATATTTCCATACGTATCATACTCCAAGCATGCAAAGTCTCTATATTTTGTCAGGCCGTTTTTTACTTGAAAATAAAGTGACCTTATATCCGGCCTTAACCATTAAGCTGAGAATAAAACGATCGTTAAAAGATGATTCACGTCTGACCTTTGAATA